TTTGGTACCACCACTATTATTACCAGTACTATTGAATTGATGTTGATGGTAGATTGTTAGCAAATACATATAGCTTTAATTATTCATCAAAGCATTACTACCACTTACTATTACTATCAAATCCATTCTGTTATTTACAGCTAATTATCACAGAATGAAAAACAGGAAATGTTATTTGTAACAATGCGCTCCATTGTTCTCGTTTTAATCACATCATTTATCAAACAATTCGACAATTACTGCAGTTATCAGTGATAAAGCATTTTTATGCAATAATTCCTCTTTCATTTGTTGCAAAACAAACTTATTAAGGAAATTTAGCATTAATAATTGTATAATATTACGTTTTCTGAAGAAATTCATACGATTTGTAATTAACATTCTTTTACACTTTGGATTGTATCATTCTTTACGACTAAATTAGAAATGTTATTTGTTTAAAAGATTTTACAGATCATAATGAAATTTTGATGTGCGCACGAAAATTGAGAAAAAGCTCCAAACATTCTAAGATTGCTAGCTCTACAATGGAAATTTCTCCTCCACCTAAGCATACTGTCACTATTTTGCGAACATACCGGACAGATACCCTCCTGCAATCCCACTTTGCAATTTTCCTAAAAATTGATCCTAACAAAAAGAAAACTTCATCACATTTCAACAAAATTTGCAAAATGGCTAATTTCTCTCCCATGCGTCAGCTCTATTCCAAGAGAAAATTCGCTTCCTTTCTTTTTTTTAGCGGTACTATTTTCAACAAAAAATAAACAGAAAAAAAGCAGAAGAATAGAAAGAAGATTGAAGAATTTCCTTAAGAAATTCTTCACTCTTCTTTCTATTCTTTTGTGTCTTTCATTCATAAAAACCTCCCACAAAATTACCGATGATATTGCTTATGCCATGAACTAACTTCACTACTAATGATAACTCAAATACTTTTAACATTACCAGAAAGTTCAATCGATATTCCAACCTTTCCCTGGCAGATATTAAAGCAACAAGCCACAAATCGAAATCCTTCAGTTTTAATTCATATTTTGAACAGAAAACATCGTTTTGCTCATTATTAGCAGAAATAAAGAGGTAAGGATTTATGAGAAGTAAATGAGGCTCAATAATGATATCCTCCAAAAAAAAAACACACAGCTTTTTATGTGAAAGTGTTAAATGAACTGTGCAGTGTTTTTTTTTTCTATGTACTTGTTTGACAAACAAAACGCTTCAGTGCTATATGTCAACTTTATTTGGTAAAACATGCCAGTTCAAGTAAATTTGAATTAACCTAGTTTGAATCGCTGGATTCAAAAAAAGCAATATTTAATTCGAAACTTTCTGAAGAAAAAAATTATTTGCATATACAAAGTATAGCAAACAATACTAACATAACTTTTGAGAATATTAGCATGACATTTGTTTAGCTTTAAAGCATAAGCTTGCTGAATTACCAAAATCATAACAGATATATAATGTAACAAAGGAATAAAAATTACTGCAATATTTTCCCCAACCCAAGTCATCTCAGAAAAAATCCATATTGTGAAAGTCAATTTTTTCCACCTTCGATGCATTCCACACTTATATATTTGATAACTTCAAGACAAACTTTCAATCAGGAGACAATGTATCACTGATAGTCACAATTGTATTCCGCAATGTCCCAGTTTCCAGTGACAAACTGAAATAGAAAAGGAAGTCTATGAATTAAAAAAAATAAAATTTAGCAGCTACAAAAATAACTTTTCCGAACATTTACCTCCGGTGCTCCTAGCTTAACACCATCTTTGTCAACGGTCGAAATTTCAAATTCGTTGTCAGCAACGCAGTCATGGTAAATAGTTAATTCCAGACTTTTATGCAGTATATCAATAGCCTGGAAAAAAGTATTCGATTCACTTCGTTCGTATCCAGTAAGATAAATTCCAAAACACCAGATGTAATTTAACAACGAATTTAGCATGACATACGTAATTATTATTACCCAAAAAAGCTATCAAAAATACCTGTTCTTTTGACAGTTTACCATCGTTTTTCCGATGTTCTGTCTCGATGACCTGATTTAGCAGCATGGCACCCATACCGGTCGCAACACTCTTTGTTCGGTATGCTACGCCTCTGCAGGAAAATAAACGCAGTTTCATAGTTTTAAGCTAGTTCAACAGTGATTTAATTTTTTCGAAAAAATAGAAAAGCTTAAAGAGAGAACCCAGTAAACAATGCTTTTTTTTGAAAATAACATAAGGTACGAATATAAGCATCACTGTTTAAAGAATAGACACAGTCAGTATTCTACGTGCTTAAAATGAATAAAATAAAAAAAGGGTACCTAGAAGTGATAACACCAATGAACGGTTCAAGTTCTTCATTTTGACGTTGCATTCCAGCAACTACCAATGTATTCCAAAGTGGATTCATTCGTGTACGACGATAATAAAGTAACGATGTCAGAAAACCATGCAACATTTTTGGACTTAGATCAGCATTAGGATCGTGCGATTTCAGCTCACATGTCTAAATTAACATTAATTATATTGACTGAAAACAGAAAGTTATCCCAGGAATATAACAAGCTTGTGTGCTTCGAATGTATTTTAAAAAGAGCTATAGTAATCCAATAATTTCTAAATCTCATGCACTGAATAATCAAAAGTTCCAATTCCATTGTCTTAGCCTATTCTTTTCAAAAAACTCGAATACCTGTCTTTCGATGACATTTTGCAACCACTGGAAATCAGCATGATCACCACCGAATGCAATGATGACACGGTTATTCACACGATATTGACGAGTAATGTGGCGGTATCGAGCCATTTTACCATATGAAACAAGCCGATCGCTCATAACAGCAACACCACCATCATACGTCAAGGCACAAACTGATGTTCCGGTACATGTGGGATTCCTAATGGAAAAGCAGATAAGCTTTGCCAGCTACTATATCTAACTGAAGTAGCATCTCAAAAATTTCAAAATGTTTGAGGTGAATTATATTTTTGCAATAATTTATAACTAATATAGATCAAATTTTTTTCTACATTATCTCCTGATCCTAACTTTAGAATAAAATGGATCGCGCAATTATTATGAAGCTAACAAAGTAACAGCACTTACACAGTCGCTTCAACTTCCGAAAACGACAAACCATGCCGAGCGTACATTGTTCGAGAAAGACAAACACTTCATGAAACATTACACTTGAATTACATATGACACAAACATGGAAGAAATTATCTACTCCTTTACAGTTGCTTGTTTATTCAAGTCATGATGCGCTTAACTATTCTTCCATTGAAAAATCCATTTCGGTTAGGAAATGAAAACAAACACATATTAGACATATTATGCCAGCATTGAAACAACACTTCCCAGTAATTTCTGATTTTGTTCAGAGATCCTCCATTACGACAGAATGTTTTCGAGGACGAATAAGAAAAAATCCCCCAAGAAATTGGAAATATACCACAAAATGAAAATGAAGCCCTGAGTATTTAAAGTATATTATTAAACATTATTAAGTGTCTCACAGCAAATGAAGAACATGTGAGGAAATTGTGAACAGTTACAAAAGGTTGGACAAACATTTATTATAAGATTGATAATAACCAAAATATAGAACACAGCGAATCCGAACTGTGTAAGAGAGTAAACTTTCATGCGTACCCAGTTTAAATTTTACTCATTATGGAAAGACGACTCAACATACCGTTCATTTTACAGAATAAAACGTTCAATTTAAGAATCAAAATCAGTGATACACAATTTTCAATATTTCGAAACAGAAAATCGTCTTCTATAGTCAAGCATGAGATATGTTTCATCAAGCACTGCACCGTTGCCATTATACTGTAAATCCAAGCCTCAATCTCAGAGTGGCATAACGACACCAATCCTTAAAGATAGTTTTCGTCAGAAAAAAAATCAACAAAGGAATTTTAATTTTATAAACATTGTATATAATCAAAAGTGATCGTAAAAAACAATCTGTCAAAACAAAGGAAAGTCACCGAATGTAGCTTATAAGCAAAAATAATGTGCGATGAAATCGATGCAATCAATATAAAAACTAAGCGCAATATGAAAAACAGGCTGAATTCCTACAACCCCATGATTCCGGAAATTAGCTTTGTTGCAATTGCTGCTGAACCATCACGTTCACGATAACACCACGGAAGCTTCGTAGTAAAATGGAAATTGTGTGCTGAAAATTTGAAAAGCATCATGTTTAGTAACAAATATTTCATCCACAATATCATTTAAATAGTTTGAGCATCTGCACAGGTTTTTCAGTGATATTGAGAACAAATAAGAAAAAATAACTTGGACTAAAATTTATTTCAGAAAACTAACTAGATAACAATTTGTAAAAAGTCACCAAAACTAAATTATAGTCAAAACAGCGAGACAAAAAAGAGCTGAGGAAAGAATAAGTAGCAAAGTAACTAAAAGGGTAAATAATGGATAAGATCAATTTTTAGGATATCATGGGTGAGTAATGTATCATTATGGGACTTCAGAAATGAAAAAGAAAAAGAGACAAAAATTCAATGCACAACAGAAATAATCCAAACAAGGAGCACTGAATGCAAGTTAACAGTAGATATTAATTGGAATATTAACTAGCAACAGTTGACTGCGCTATATTCTTCGAAGTATAACAATAAGAGAAAAAAATGGCCTCAAATAGAATAAATAAATTGAATGTGAGAAGAAAAACGCTTTTAGTCCTCATTTGGTACTATTTTCATGTTCCAGATATCCAACATCAGAAATATCGTTCAAAGGATTCAGTTATTTGTGAAGGGAAACAGGTCTTTTTTTTCGTTTGGTTTTCAAAATCTGAATATTTTCTTTAAAATATAAAAAGCGATGAAGTATATATTTGTATTACAAGTTATCAAAAAAAGAAAGCAAAATTTATTACTGAATGAGACAAAAATAAAAGTTAACAAACTTTTGCAGTCCTTTCGTTCCGTCGCAGCTCTGAAACGACAACAATTTCTACAGTAAACGAATGTACAACCCTGACTGGCAGGCAAATCGCAACGTAAACACTTTGAATAAGTTTGAATTTTGCACTGTTCCTTCCGATCTTCAATCTATAACTGGATGTGATCTATAGCCAAAATCTACATATAAGTCCTAAATGCCTCAAGACCAAAAAATGGCAGATATCAACGCCTCCTTGCTACTAACTCAGTTTACTTGAAGATTCCGAGTTATACATGTATAACTCACAATTAATCTTCAACAAAAAAGATCCGCTTAATGCAGCAGATAAAGTCAACTGAATACTACAAATATAGAATTCTTTGAGAATATATGAGAATACGAGGTATGAAAATCTACAAAAGTTCCAACCAACATGGTGTGAGATACTATTCAAAAAACAATATAATCTGAAAACTATTATTTTTTACTACGGTAGCACAATTTCTCATTAACTGTAGATGTGTAGTGATTATTTACCTTCCGTTTCTCACGCTTACGCAATTGCCTTTTTGAAAGACCAGTCTTTTGAGCCAAAGCATCAAGTTCTGCTCGCCGTTGTTCGCGATACAGGGAATCAGAAACAGATGAGTCATCGCGCATTGGACGATAATAAGGCTTACAGATCCAGTGAGGCATCAGTGCGGGAGAGGCAGCCAACGCTATTGCCTTCACTTCTTCAAATAAAGAGATTGAAAATTCCTTTTTCTTCCTACCGACCAGACACAATTTTATTTTTAATATTCTAATATAGAACTGATTTAAGAAGCAAATTAGTGAAACTATAAAATAATATAAAAATGCTCACGTGAAAATTCCACTTCTGTGCTCGAAACCGACTGAAAAACACGTTCTTCCAAATCATCCATAATTTGGCGAAAATCTTTCATAGAGCAAACGTATGACAAACGTTCACGCAAATCACTATATTCTAATAAACTGAAAATTTCATGTCAGAAAAAGTTTTCAGCAGTTATCTTCGTAATTTTTCAATTAATGTAATTTGACAAAACAAATTATAATGGAAAGGAGGGGGGGGGGGAAGGGGGGGTGAACTGCAATCCAAATTCATCAAGGTGCAGTACTAACGTTAGACAGAGAACAATTTGCAGAAGCCTCAATAAAGACAATATGTATCAGACTGACTATAAAGTTCATATGAAGCCGAAATGCAAAAAGTTATCAGTTCAAATAAATCTGACGAAGCGTTAAACATCTAATATCGTAAGCCACTTTCAAGATAACTGCAAAGAATCGTTGATCACATAAACACCGCTACCCTCACAATAAGCTCCACTGAATTCACAGGAATGATGAAAAAGAATAAATCCTGGCAGTAATGAAAGCAGTATGTAATGACAACATAACTAAACCTGTGGTGGCACAGACGGAACAAATGAGCCCGTACAGCGCTGACAGTAGATTCATAACGTTCTGCAAAATTCAGGTACTCTCGAGCTGCAGTCCAATTTACCTCGTGTCGTTTTTCAAATAAGTAAGGATTCGAAAGGATACCTTCAGCACTCATTATCGCATTTGCACCAGTTATTTCCAAACACCGGTCAACATCACCGGGTAGCTAAATAACAAATGGGTGCATAATTTTTTTCATTGTTTCATTAGATTCCATATAAATCCATGCAGTACATATGTATATTACACGCATAAAACAATTTCATTCTTTCTGGATGTTTTTTTCATTAAGTTTTTAAATTTAAATTCATTCATATTTGAATGAATTTAAACACTTACACTGCTGTCTGTAAAATGAGAAAAAACCTGAATATTGCCATTTGCTAGGACCGGCACATCAACAGCATTTACGACGGCACGCATTGCATACCAATCAGCTAAGCCAGTATTTGGACCTCGCTGTTCTCGAGTTCTTCCGTGAACAGTGAGCATGCAAGCACCTGCTTTCACTAAGGCTCTGAAAATGTACAATTTAATTCGTCGCTGAAAACAGACTTCGAAATTACAATTTTCGTTCCTGAGAAAGTTGGCCTAATTATATCACCAGAGCACTCCGATGAAAAATAGAAAACATTAAAAAACCACCAATCAAATCACTGTTTAAATGTGTATCATTTAGACGTTCTATTAGAGAAAAACAGTATTTGCTTTTTGTTAAATAAATTTCATTATTCGATTTTTGATGTAATAATATTAAACGCTTATTGACCTAGCATACGCGACTGTTTCATTAACATCTTGAAGAATTCGTATTTTACAAGAGAGAGGTAATCGCAAGCGCGAATGCAATAATGCAACCATTTCACAAATCAATTTCAGATCTTCCTGAAATGAACGATTACCTGATAACATAACAGTCAATACTAATGTTCTATGAAATGAAAATGTAAATTATAAATTTTATAAATATGGAGTGAGAAAAATGAATATAAATTCTATAAATATGGAGTGATTGAAACATCGCAAATTCTCAGATCAAATCCCAGTGAAAGAATAAGGTAATTACAACACTGTGTTACATACAAATGATTCATCAGAGTTGATAATAAACAGATCCGTCCTTCCTTTATCACCTTCTTGATGCTAAATTCTCTAAGAAAATTTACTTGAGCTAAACTTGAAATAAAAAAGTTGAGGTCAAAAGGGATAACCTGCAAGTAAGCACCGTAATGTCCACGTTTAGCGATAAGCTGAGGACAGCCTAAGTTCAAATCTACTCCATCGCAAAAGCTTTCAACTAATTGGCAGGCGGTTAGCAGGGTCACTGGGTCATTAGCACAAAACTGTACAATGAGGGGTCGATCATCATGGCATGTGGACAAAGCTGTACGGCGATAAGTAGCATCAGTGACAAAAAGTTGTGCATGGATCATCGGTGAAAAACATAGATGCGCTCCATGCTTTCGTAGCATCATCCGGAATGCGAGTTCACTAGAATTAATTCATTTTCTTAAAATAGCCTATTTTAATCTCCATGTACCTTCGAAACATGCATCGCTTTAGTGCTGTTATCTCATATTTAATTCTATAAATTCGAAAAACTTTTCTTAATATTTTCATCTATCTATCGTTTTTTATCTATCATACAGTTATACTTTCAAGAAAAAGAATGGTATTATTTTAATGGTATAGCCGAAAAGATAATCTCATAAAAATTATACGTTCAAGCATTGATATCGATGAGCTTTCAAACAATTAA